GTGACCCAGAGTACCAAGCTTCGAGCAGTGCCTGAGCACTGCCAGATATGGCCAAAAAACAAAGTTCAGAAAGAAACATTAAAGTCATTCTACACAGCTACAGTGTTATACAGTTAATTTTTAAAATTACATTTCAGTTTACTGATAATCCATTTAGGTAAGCAAGGTAATATTCCTGTCTGCCTTGATAAATATACATCCCCAGCAGAGAGAAGGGGAGGGATAGAACTATGAGCCATATACCAAATCCTCTCCCTCCCCAGCCTGTCTTTTCTCACTTTCCAACACCACATATCGGCTTGGATATGATTTATTAAGAGCACCTATGCTTCTTACCTCCTCTGAGCGTTATTCCTGGAAACCTAGAACTACTGCACCTCATTGCGTTAGGCAGACAGTTCTGGGCATTACTCCCTGTTTGTTGGACAATTCAGTAAGATCACTTATCTTTCCAAAGAGGACCAAACTAATGAACAGCAAAACTCCAGCGTATCCGCGGGAGGGTGACCAAACTCTTACAGGGTAGGAAAACAAAGAGTGACTGAGAATAATGAAGGGTAGTTGAGAAAGGAGAAGTTAAGAGCAGCAAGCTCCCCACCCATGAACACACTGTCACCATGCACTTAAAAGTAACACCACACAAAGGAACAAACTGGAGCTATATGGCCCCAAAAGTCACAAAGAAAAATGAAGACTATTCAACAAGTCTTTATCTCCACTGGGTCAGAGCGCTAATGCTACACTAGGTATACAGAGTTGTGTAAGAGAAACCCTACTCTTGATTGTACAAAAAACAAGAAAGGAACCGCAGATGCAAATGACACTGAAAACTACGGGAATCTAAGAGAATGATGACTCCAATGTTCTTTGGGGGAGAACACTAGGAGAAAAAAACTTCACTCAACAGATGTGGCGGGGTTTCAGAAGCAGGTAAGGTGGGAAGTGGCAAGAACAAAGAAAGAACAGTGTGAGCAAAAGCACGGAATCCAGAGTGTTAGAACACCAAGCATATATTAGCAGTACCAAGACCTGGGGTCTTAAAGATGGGGAAATCAGTGGTAAAAAATCCCAAAACCTCCATGCCAGACAGCGATTTAGGCTCTAATACTTATGACACACTAGTAAGAAACTGTGGCAGAATTGAGGGAGGGAGGGAGGGAGGGAGGGAGGGAGGGAGGAAGGAAGGAAGGAAGGAAGGAAGGAAGGAAGGAAGGAAGGAAGGAAAGGAGGAAGGGAGGGAGGAAGGGAGGGAGGGAGGGAGGGAGGGAGGGAGGGAGGGAGGAGAAAAGAAAAGAAAAGAAAAGAAAAGAAAAGAAGAAAAGAAAAGAAAAGAAAAGGAAGTAAGTTCATTCCAGTAGGGGGCTGGCTTCTTGAGGGTAAGAGTGAGGAAAGGATGGTCATTATGTAGTCACTATTGTTAGTCTAGTGGGGATAATTATAAAATAAAGGTTCAGGTTCAAGACTAGGAGGCAAAAAGCAAAGAGAACTAGTGACTATGAGAAGGAGGGAAAGGAAAGGGTGCAGGATAATTTCCGGATCTCAGCTAGTGAATGGCGAAGGGTACTGCCCAAGGCAGGTCATGATGGAAGACGGGTCTCTGCAAGCACTCAGTGTAAGAGCCCTGGGAAGAACCTGCCCTGTTATGGTCTGGAGAAAGGGGAAAGGGAAGCAGGTGGGAGAGGGGTAAGATGAGTTTAGCTTCGGTCTTGTGTCACTCAGTAACACAGAGTGACACTTGAAGAGTGGACCGGGAGAGTCATTAGCTGACAGTGACAATTCAGAATCAGATCCACTTTAGATACCAACATTTAATGAGGGAGTGAAAGAAAATCCAGAGACCAAATGGAATAATGATAGGATGATGCCAAAACATGCTATGTAAAGCCAAGTTTACTAACAGAAATTATTCCAAAATAGAACATTTAATGAGGCAATGAATCACATCATCAAGTAAATGATTCCGGCTGACAAAGCCTTCTATTCAAGATGCTGATGAGAGAATTCTTACATTAAATGAGAAAAATAGCTACGTGTCACATCTATAAAATCTAGGGCAAGACTGACCCCCAAATCATTGACATTTCGTCAAATACTCATCTGCGTAATACACGAGACTATTATAAAGTTTTGGGCTTTTAAAGGACTCGATATATACATACATTTCATAAAACTCGTGAACAACCAATATTAGACTAAATTGGTGAACTAATTTGGCTCTTACGGTACAAAAAGTTGAAGAAAAGTATGTAAATAACTGTTCCGTGTCAAATTCAAGCTAATTTCCAACTCCAGTTAATTTCAAGTGAAATTAACACTATCTTGCTTCATAGTCAAAGCAACAGTACAAGTGGGAAGGGAGCCTGTCTTGCTGACAGCTGACCACATTTGGCCCCCTGAGATCTGCCAGAATAAACAAAAAAAACAGTATCTCTCCCCATTCCTGCATCCAGCCCCACAGCCCCTGCTATTTCTTAACCCCTTTGCTCTGACTAAAGACCCACAGTACCTGGGCTGTTCACACAAGCCATGTTCCCCCCCTGGTCCCTAGCTATGTTTTTTTAGCAACCTGCTCTCTCCTTCCCAAAACCAAATCATTTCCAATCCTCCACTATTGCTGACCATGTTCTATCACCATCCCTTTTGTCTGGATCCTTCTCCTGTCTACCCTAAATTGGAAGAATATTCCAATTATCCTGCCCTACCACACCCCTAGCTTTCTTCTTTTACTGTCAACTGTCTCCATCCACCTATTAAATGCAACCGACCTGGGGGGGGAGGGGCACGGGGATGCAAAGACCTCCTACAAAAGTAAAAAAAATAAAATCGAACCACTGATAAATGATATCTGGCTTACTGACAACTTGTTTTAGTTGTCACTCGATTCTTAATTCCCTGACCTCTCTGTAATTTAGGCCAGAACTGACCAGTCCCTCCTTTTTTGCAGTTGCTCCTTTTGCTTTTAAAAACGAACCACGATAGTTTTGCGGAAAGTACTGGGGCAAGATTCAGAAGATTTCTGTTCTACACCCAACAGAAACTACTAATTAGCTGTAAGCCTCCCACCTCCACTTCAAGTTAGCCCTCCAATTTTATTCTAAAGTGCCCTCACACACAGAGGTGAGGTCCAAACGGTAGGCACTTTCCCCAAACCTCTTCTCCTTATCACAATCACTCAATTCAGTAATTAGCCGCTGAATGACTATTCCTACCCACACACCAGACTGTGTGCTCCATGAAGGCAGAGCGTCCACTCCAGAAACACTACGCACCTCATCAGCACAAAACCAAAGTCTATCAGTTATATTTAAATGAATCGAGAAGTTACCATCACCTCCCTGGGACAGTTTATTATTTTTAAGGACATGAATTACTAGCACTCATTTTTTTTTCTTACAAAGTTACTGGCACATTGCAAACAGTAACTCCACCAATGACCTAAGATATGAAATACAAAACCTGACAGGCAAAATCAAGTTAAGAGTTTGGGAGAACTTGTCTTCGAAAATATTTTTCTGGCTCATCCACGAGAATAGAGCGAGCTGGATGAGAAAGTGTCTTTCTTTCCTCTTATGGGGAGGAGGTCACACCCACCTGGCAATGCTCAAGGCATATTACTCCTGGCGGCGCTTGGGGGACCATATGGGATGCCAGGGATCAAATCCGGGTGGGCCACATACAAGGCAAACCTACCTACCAGCTGTACTATCACTGCAGTCCGGAGAACGTATATTTCTGTGTGCCCTGGGAGAGTGGAAGGGAGAGACTGAAACTAGTACGCAAATACTTTGGATGATACTCTTAAATCGGAGAGTTTTTGACATGGCAAAAAATCATCACACGCATATATTCTGTATGAAAAAAAATGAAAAGAAAATTCACCAACCAAGTTCTGTCGTCGCATGCTTTCAAATATCTCACCAAAAAAATCAGGGAGAACAAGCAGTGGCTTAGTGATTTAGAAGCTGCCACACGCCTCACCAAATATTTTCCAGCGCGAGAATTTCAGATCTCACCGCAAATCGGTGAAAGTTTTGCCAAGTTTTAAGATGTGCCACCCTGGTCAAACAACTCAAACCGACAGCACACGGATTGCTCCTTCCACCGCTGAGCGTGTCCAGCATGTCTTTCCAGGCAAGCCTGGCTTGTTAACTGGCCCGTTTTACATGTTGATTTCAGGACCCCCCCCCCCCCCAAAAAAAAAAATAGCTTGAAGATAAACATATTTCTAGACCGCCACCTGAAAAACGGTGCCAGCAGTCAATGAGACGGTAGGTTAAGAGGGGTTAACGGGCTGGAAACAGAGCTGGAATCCCAGGGAGGCAACCCCTGCTAGCGGAAACACGCGAGATAGAAGCACTTGGAGTGTAGGCTCCACCGTTCGGTCCACGCGGGCGGCAGGAGGGGCCAGCTGCACCCCCCTGGCCATCCCCTCCCCCTGCAGCCGCGGGGCTCCAGGCCCCGCGCCGGTCCCCTCCGGGCGAGCTCGGGCCGGGCCTCCACGGGGGACGCCCCGGGCCGAGCAGGCGGCGGACAAGCCCCCTCCCCCCGCGCCGGGAAATTAATGAATCGGCCGCGCAGATTGTTTATTTAACGAGGTGTGCAGTGGCCTCTGCTGGTGCTCGCGTGCGCACAAGAATGTCCCACTCTTACAAGTGGGATGAGCCTGGGGGAGGGGAGCGCGGGCGAGGGGCGACCGTGCCCTCGGGCACAAAGCGCGCGGCGAGCCCCCGGGCCCCCCGGACGCGCCCCCGCGCGCGCCCACAGCAGCCCCCTCGCCAGCCCCGCGCCAGCCCCGTCCTCGGGGGGCGACCGGGGAGGCCGGGGCCGCCGCCAAGTTCCCGCACGTTCCCCGCAGGACCCGAACGAAGCCAGACCACGACGCGGCCCAAAGCGGCCGCAGCAGCGAGTGCGGGAGCCGGTGCGGGCGCGGGTGCCGCGCCCCCGCCCCCGCCCGCGCCCGCGCCGCCCGGCCCGCGCGCCCCCCCGCGGCCGCCGCTTACCTGGGGGCTGCGGCGGGGTCCTGGCGGCCGCCGCGCCCGGCGCCCCGCGCGCCAGCAGCAGCAGCAGCAGCAGCAGCAGCCAGCGGAGCCGGGACGCCGCGCCCCGGAGCCTTGGGGCGCCCCGCGCCGCCGCCATCTCTGCCCCGCGAGCGGCCGCGGCGGGCGGCAGCGCCGCGGAGCCCGGCGCCTGCTTCCCTGGGCGCGCTCGGCCGGCCCGCGCCGCCGCCGCCTCCAGCCAGCCCGGCCCGGCCCGGCCCGGCCCGCGCGGCCCGTCTCGCGGAGGGGCGACTCGGGGGCGCCTCCCTCCTGCAGGGGCGCGGAGAGCGGAGGGAGGGGGCGCAGTCAGTTCATGCCGAGGCCGGGGGGGCGGCTCGGGCTCGGGCTCCGGGCTCCAGGCGCCGCCACCCGCCTCCGACTCCGGCTCCGCACGCCCGCGCGAGGGGGGCGGAGACCGCGGGCGGCGGGGGCGGGGGCGGGGGGCGGGGGCCCCGGACGCGCAGCCCCCGCGCCCGCGCACGCGCGCGCCGGCCTCGCCGCCACCCCCCGGGCCCGGTGCGCGCGCGCGCGCGGCCCGGCCCGGCTCCAATCCCGGCCGCCGCCTCGCGGCCCGCGCGCCCGCCTCGGCCGCTCCCCTCCCCCCGGCCCGGAGCCGCGGGGAGCTCGGGCTGCGGGCGTCAGGGAAACCCCGGAGGAGCGGATCCCCCTCCTCCGCCGCCGCCGCAGCCCCCGACCCCCGCGCGCGCCCCGGGGAGGGACGCCCCGCGCTCGCAGCTCCGCGCGCGCCGGGGACCTGGAGGCCGAGCGCGCGCGCACCGCGCTCCCCAGCCCGCGCCCGGGGCCTCTAAGTAGGGCCGCGGAGGGAAGCGAACGGCCTCCGGGAGGAAACCGGGGCGCGCCCCGGGCCGGCGCGGGGATTTATGTGCCGGCCAAAAACAATAGCCGGCCCGCCCGGCGCTGGCGGGGACCTGGCACGCTTCCCCGGGGAGGGGGCCCGCCGCGCGCCGCTGCCCTCCCGCCTCCAGGCCGGCCCGGCCCGGCCGCGCGCTGCCCGGGACTCGCACCCCCCACCCGGTGCGCCGCCGGGCCGGGGGCCAGCGGGTCCCGGCGCAGACAAAGGTGCCCGCGCGGCGGGGGGCGCGGGCCGAGCCTCCGCCGGCGGCTGGAACCTTTCACCTCCGCCTCTGCGGGACGCTCGGCCGTTTCCTAAATGGAAAACGCGTCTTTGATCAGCGGACGGGGTGCCAGAGGGATGGGCTTTAAAAAAAAAAAAATAGACACGAACTTGGTAATAATACTGGGGGAGCCAGGGGGCAGCACCCCCCGCCCCCGGCCGCACCAAGTTCAGAACAGGCACTTTGCAGGAGAATGCCGATCCTTTTGTAAGCTGCACCCCTGGGAAAGTCGTTTCAGGATCCGTCTTTGTATGATTATGTGCTGGAGAGTCGTGTTGGGTTGCTCGTGTGAGTTGGATTTTTATTCACTGTTCTGTGCGGTCAATAACCGGAATAAATTGCTCCCCATGAGAAGCTGGCTATATCGCCGATATCCACTCCCCTCCTGCCTTCTGATCACGTCGTCTTCAGAGATCTGCTCTTATTCCAAAATGCCAAAATAAGCAATATAAAGGCGTGTGTGTGTGTGTGTGTGTGTGTGTGTGTTGGGGGGGGTTCTGATACCTTGGAAGTCCTCTTAAATCATCAAATCGTGCGGTTAGAAACCTTCATTCAAGTTCTTTGAAACAATTGACTCTTAAAGGGGTCTAACACAAGCTGCTGGGTGTTTTACACGGGGAACCAGTTTTGATCTCTTTGAGTTGGATAGGGTTGTTAGCTGGCAAAAATGTTTCCTAAATACCCCTCATTGACCTGTTAAATTAGAAATACATTACCTCCCAATTACTTCACAAGTATTTGCTTAATTAACCTTTAATAATCACATCATTATTCAGCATTCTGAAGACAACGAATGTGAAAACTTTCTTGAAAACTATCAGTTGCCTCCCAATGGTTAATTTTCAGGTATCTTTCCTTTGTGTGGAAAATTTTCATTTTATTAAAACTATAAACTGCATTGCGTGACTCCTAAAATGAAGATCACGTTTTAAAAATCATCTGAGTTATGGCTAATAAACACTGATTTTCACGTATGATTTCTCCAAACTGGCATACTCACTTATTAGCCCTCTGTGTACATCAGAATTAATTCAAAAGTTTAAGGCACCTTCAGTAAAATGGGATAGCTAAATCCTATTTGGTATCAAATCACATATTTAATCAAACCCACTCCAATAGGCTCGTAATAGTAATGTTAGAGAAAAACTGTTTGTTACAGATTCTGTGGCCACAGTCATGGTACAGTGAGTAGGACATTTGCCTTGCACACACAGCCAAAGTGGGTTAGATCCTGGCATCCCTGAGTCTGCCACCAAGTAATTCCTGTATATAGAGGAGTATAACCCATGTTCATGGCTGGGTGTGGCCTCAAAACCAAAACCAAAACCACCAGATTCTATGCCAGTTCAAGAGTCCACAATAAGGAACCCCAGGCAAGCACTGAATTCAGACCCTCTACCTTGTTTCTACGTAACTGATTATAGACTTTTAAAAAGCATCATCCACAGTCATTGTTCTCATTCTTAGTGTGTGTGGGGGTGGGGGGGGTGGAGGCTCTTTGAGAAGAGAATTTCTTAGATATCTTTATCATTTTTATCTCCCAAGAACCTTTTCCATTTATAATCCCATCTACATTTATTTGCCCGGTCAATATATTTTGTGGAGTCAAAAATATTAATCTATGAAAAGATAATAAACGGGTCATGAAATTCACACTTTTTCATCTAAATAAAATCAAAACTTGAGACTCACGGTCAAGGAACAGCATACAAAGAAACTTAGAACAAAGAAAACAGACTGGCCATTGTATGTTGTTATAAGTCATCACAGTGCAGGCCAAAAAAAAAAAACTGGACCAAATATTCTTGTGAAATTTATTCTGAGTGTACTTTGATATAAAAATTAAATGAAAAATTAATAGGGCCTGTGAACATAAAACTCAGTAAGAATCCTATTCTCTATAGTAAAAGCATTATGTTTTCAACTTTAGAGAGGCAATAAAGTTCAGTGTTTAACTGCCAGCAGTAATTAGTTTCTGCCATTGATTCCCTCGCTGTAAAAGGTAGAGAGAAACTCGGACCTCCTGACTAGTAAAACCCAGTACAGACCTGGAAGTCCAGGTTTTAGCACACTTTAACTGGAAGTTACCTGTATTTTGGGAGCATCATTTTATTCTGCATAGATGTCAACATCTTTTCCATTTGGTCATTTACATTCTACTATGTAAGATTTTTTTTTATCCCTTCCTTTCTTTCCCGAAAGTCGCTGTTGTATGGATCTGAGTGTTTAAGCCCTAAGAAAGAGATGAGCTTCTTAAGGACAGAGACTGAAAATATTTATTTCATCTGTGATATCCTGCATCTATCTTTAGTGCAACAACGATGAATACAAAAAATGTTGAGAACCTCTGTGCAAGATTTTGGGTGGGTAGTGGCTAACTAAGTTATTGGCTCATTTAATATTTATAACGCATTTTTGTGTCAGTGTCTCCCCTGTGTTGGGCGGAAAGCAGTGGTGAGCAAGGAAGACAAGGTTCCAGTGGATCAGGCAAGACGAACAATGACAATAAAGTGTGAAGAGTGTTATGGTTAGGAGAGATAAGGAGTGTGGGAAAACACAGTTTGAGCATCCAGCCTGACTCTATTGTGGGGAAAAGAGGAAGGTGAAATGGGGATTTAAAGAAGCAGCTTTGGTCTCTAAACTGAGGCAGGGGTAGGAGTTGGCTCCCCAGGCAGTGGGACCTGACATCACGTTTGCATTTTACAAGGCTCTTCTTGGCTCTTCTTGGAGTGTAAATTAGGAGACCAGACCAAGGAAACCAGCTCAGATTTTGTTAACAGCGGTCTGGGGAGGAGATCGTGGCCTGGAGTAAGCAGAACGGATTAAGAGCAGTGAATAGATAAGAGAGAGAGATTTAGGAGGCAGATAGAAACAACGGTGGGTAGGAGAGAGAAGTTGTAGGTGACTTAGATTTCAGCTCGGGCAGCTGAAAAGAGTAGGAGAGGCGAATGAGAGGCAAATTGAGAGAGATGAGCAGATGGGAGGCACTGTGAGTTTAACTCTGGACAAGCTTTAAGTGTCTATGGAACATCTGAGTAGAAATACCAGTGAACTGTTTGTTATTCGAGTATGGAATTTAGTCAAGAGAACCGAAATACAAATGTGAGTCATCAGTATACCATATGTGTCCAAAAATATGGTGCCTCTAAATGTGGGGTGAGCCTCATTTTCCCAATTACAATCCACCCACTAATAAAACTTGGCGGCCACCTTGAACACATATAAACATTTAAAGATAGAGATAAAATAATCAGGGATCTACTTATAATAATTGATGCATAATTTAATTATATTTACATACTTTAAATTATAGATTATGTAAAATATCATTTAAAGTAATTTATGGAAGCTCTTCACAGTGTTTTAATCATCAACAGAATCACATTTTTTGAGCCTCTGACATTGTTTCCCATGACACATCATCTTCTACCTAAAATTTTGATTCTGTGTATGATATTGCCACTGGGACTTTTGCCCCAAGCAACATCCCATAGTCACATTAACTTATCATGTTGGCATTTAAAATTACAAAAACATCCAATACAGGTAAATCTGAGGGTATTTTCCTAGAAATAATTCCTAAATACTTGTTAAATGTTTGTGTTTCCTCTTTTACTAATTCTGTCAGATGGCTGTGATATGAACAAAGAGAATCTCATTCTAGTGTATCTTTCCCCAAAGAATATTTTATTGTTCAAAGCAATTAATAAGACATGCTTTTGGAAGGACATCCTTTTATTCCCCATGGGTTAATTGCAGAAGTGTGTGTGTGTGTGGGGGGCGTACCAAAGACAGGAGAGGGAACAAGAATTTGGCCCTTATATTTGAGCATATATGGTAATGGCCAAACTGGTTGAGATTGACCCCTTAGGGTAGAAGTAAAGGGAAGACAAGAGCATTAGTAGAACAGGTAAGGGCCTTTGCCTAGTTGACCCCAGCTCCAACCCCTACAACCCATATGGTCTCCCAAGCCCACCAGGACTGATCCTTGAGTGCAGAGACCAGAGTAACACCCAGTATATCCACTCCCCCAACTTC